AACAGATTCAAATACCACCAGATACACAATAAGTACGGCTAGAAACAAATAATTGCATATGCTGTAATATAAATCAAGATAGATGTTAAAACTGTTAAATTATATACATAAATCATCAAAGAAACGTAAGTACAGTGTTCAAATAAAGGACATAATAATACATCGTGTAGCATAGCTCTCAACGAATGTAGTCCTGCAAATAAATGAATAAAGAAATTGTGTAATAAAATGCCTCTGGCGATATAATTCATCCTCCTCCTCCTCCTCCTCCTCCTTCTTCTTCTCCTTCTTCTCCTTCTTCTTCTTCTTCTTCTTCTTCTTTTTTGAGAAATTAATAATTATAGTGGAACATAAATATCTCTCAATCATAAATTTATCATCGTGGAAATTCAATTTGTCTGGCCATACATATAACATAAAGGCATTGTCATCGAAATGTCCTCTTATTCAATTTTTTTTTAGTTTAATAATTAATTAGATCTGTTTAAAGTTTATAATCTAGCTGATTTTTTAAAGTCTTTTAATAACGAAAAGCAAGTACTGTATGCCTTTTAATAATCCAATTATAATTATAATTATTGTTTTGATTAAACGTACGATACCATTTGTCTATTTTGACCCTTATATCATTTTTTTGACTTTAGTAATGTTTAATAGTATAATTGTTTCTTTCTCTCACCAATCAGTTGTTTTCTTTGCTTGTTTGTTTTTGTTTACTTCAATTTTTTTTGTTAACAATAATATATAGGCCTACTTCATAATGTAATACGCCACCTGGCTACACGTCACATACTTTAAGCCTCCTTTTAATTTAAGTTATAAAACATATGCCAAAACATCCAATGAAGTTTGTATAGGCCTACTGTATTATTTTTTGATGATTTTTTTTTACTGAAGCAATTAATACGTTTAATTAATTAGTCAACTGTTGGATACACTGCAGCACAGCCTAATTATATCAACATTATGCTAAGGTCCAAAGGTTGACGTCTCCACCCCTATTTTGGTATAGATTTCATCAAAAGAGTCCAATCAAGAGCTGCTTGGTATTCAAGCGAATGCTAGGTGTTGCTGGTGTTTTAATTAAAACTCATCATGTTTCTACGGAGCATTGTGGTAATATTAACAGGTAAGTGAGTATCGTCGGTTACAGTTTAGTTTGTGAGTAGAAACATCAAACAAATGCTAAATCCTGTAAGTATAAAATGTTACGCCTACCCTACCGTCATGATAATGGTTTTTATAAACCTCCATTTTGAAGAGCTTCCAACTTACACAAAGGAGAAATTTATTGCAGGCCTATTAGAGGACTATAATTCATTTAGATTGAACATAGCCGTTATAATTATGGTTGTGAATAAAGAGAATCGTATAATTTAATTAATTTCTTTATAATTTGTTCAATTTTTTACATACATAAAATGTATTAGACCTACAGAGAAGCACACATATAAGTGAGACTGGCTTCCTGTCTGTAGGCTTCCTACATACCGTAAAACCTCAAATTGAAGCCCAGTGGGCTTAATCTCGAGGTGAAGCCCATCTCGAATTGAAGCCCACTCTTTAGTTTGCAAAATTAGCCTCGATGTGTTTTTTTCGAGATAGTTCAGTACATACACTGTACATGAATTTCAAAAAACAAAATAAATTAAAAACAAGCTTGGTTATAGTTTAGGTGATTTAATGCCAGTTAAATACACTCCATAATACAGATTGATGTTATAGTGGCCTTATATATTTTGTTTTATAGTAAAAATTCACAAAATTTACAGCATTCATTGAAAAGAAGCCCCCCCCCCCACTCCTTCCTTCCCCCCCCCCAACTTACTTTGCAAAAGTAGCCTAAAAAAGAAGCCCATCTCGAAAAGAAGCCCATTCAAAGTTCGCAAAAAAAAAAAGAAGAGGAAAAGCCTAGGGGTTCGAGGTTTTACGGTAGTAAAATATCTCTACAGATTTAGCTTCCATTGATATGTTTTCCACACGGTTCACGTAAAAATTGGCATACCATACTGTTATTATATAGGCCTAAGCAAAAATAACACTCAAATCGCATTTCACTGATCAATTTATTGATCAGTGAAAAATTATTTCAGATTTGGATCATAGCATTTTAGCTGTGTGAACATGCTTTAAAAGTATGTACTTGTTGAAAATATAGTTCGTACCACATATAACGTTCAAGTTCAATTTCAGTGGCCTATATTGAGTACCACCAAATCCATGTTATACTATTATCTGATGGTGGTTATAGATAATCGAACGTAATTTTGGTTTATGGGGTAAGATCATACGATAGCATAACCATAAATTATTTGCTGGATAAATGTGTGGAATAATATTTAAAATGGTAAAGCAAGTTAATTATACCAACAACTGTCAATACGTCAACGAGGGAATTGTCGAGACTTATAGTAATGTATTCGATTAATATGAGGCCAAATCAGAGGAAGTATAGGGGTCGGTGGGTTAATCCAGGTTTTAAACATTGTACCGTATGCCTGCACTAAACATAAGTAACACTGTTCAGTAGGCCTATAAACTGAACATTTTCAATTGTAAATTTCACCCATTTCAATTAAAATGTCATCGTATTCTATTATACCAATATTGTAATAAAACGCAAAAATTATAATCAACATCGTCCAATGTATTGATCACTGATTAGTTATTAATTGATTTCTTCAGTCTGTTACGTCGTTTAACTCCAGTCATGTTTTCCTAGGGTCAGGTCCTTTTATATTTGAGTTAAGAAATCAAAAATATAGCCAGAATGTCTGTCGTTTTATTTCATTTATTTTTTAACAAGACACAATAGAAATACAAAACAGAATGTGTGTTGTTAAATTAATTAAACAACATATAAAAATTAATTTATATTTGAAAGCAATCAATATAATAAATATAAATACAATTAACGAACGAATATGGTAAATAACCACATACATTTTAAATCAAAATAGAATGTTGAAGATGTTTTGTAGAATATTCAGACATTTAATTTCTTGTTATTGAAAATAACAATCACAGTAAAAGGATGTAAATAATAGATAATTTGATGTATATAATTACCAACAAACAATATAATTGGAAAATACTTAAAATTATACATACTAACTATATACTGTATTGAATAGATAAGTTATTAAAAGGGCAAGCATAGGCTAGGTAGTGAGTTTGGTATACAACATCGAATCGGAAAATAACAATCGGTAGCTTACACTTCTAGAAGATAAATTTACATTTTAATCTATTAACAAATAACTAAGGCAAGGAAATGTTTGCTATGCAATTTAGGACCTGGAAAGTACACGGTAATATGCATTAGGATTACTGTATGCTTAAACTTCGTGTATGCCTCTGCAAAATGTCTGTGTTGACGCCTAAAATAAACCTCTGAGGCCTTTTGGGCGATAATTTTCTTCTTTTACTTTTTTCTTATTTTTTTTTTTACTTTCCAAAAGGGGAGGCCGGGGCCGACCCATCCCCCTCTAAATCCTCCCCTGGACACTGAGTTGGAAGGCAAGCATCTTAACCACAAAGCTATTCAATAATTCTGTTTCTATAAATTTCTTGCATAATTTAAGATTTTTGTAGTAAAAAATTAAATCAACAAGAACTGAATGACTTCGAACTGAGTGTCATACTTTTAAATGTGAGACTTTTTTGTATAATTACTTATTTCTATACTGCACATGGGAGCAACGGCTTAACATCCCATTCAGAAGATGGTGCGCCTTTTATGCTTCTAACTGAAACATAACAGTGAGTAACTGATGAATTGAACCGGGGACCAAAGATAAACAGTGGATCTTCACGGTTCAGTGAACACACAGCCGCCGCCATCAGCGTAGCCGTTTTGCTCTTTTTGGGTTACTCTCTTACAAATATTAATTCCATCAGATTGTAGAATTTTAAAGCATTTCTTAATACTATATAGCCTATATGATGTCTGTATGTTACATTTTTGTGATGATGATGATGATGACGACAATGTTTGTATTTATAATAAAAGATTAGTCTGGTGGAATATTTGTAAACTCTATTCTTCTCTGACAGCGTCCTGTAGGAACTTCAGTTCACACCCGATGGTTATTCATAAAAGGAAAAAATAATTAAACTTATTCTGATTTAAAATGCCTCTTTATTTTCAGCTTGTATCCTGGTCAGTGCGAACCCAATTTCAGACGATAGAGGAGGGTTTATCAACAGGAATCGATCACCAAGACATCTCAGACAAAAGCGCGAAGATGTTACAAGAAACTGCGGAGTAACACCAACTGTAAGACCAATCTTTGTTCCGTAAATTATCACACAATGAAATACACATTATTAAACAAAGTGTATATAATACCCAGTGAAATGCAAATTTACGAACGGACTATAATCCCAAACAAGCTTTAAAGAGGAATAGGCGTACTACCAGCTGAATAAACCACTAAATAGACCACAAAGGCATTTTTGACGGATTTTTACCCTAATGTGTATCAGGTATCAATTCATAGANNNNCACCAGTGTTGTTTTATAGCAAACCCAGTGCTTCGCACCACAGTAGTGGTATTCAGTTATATATTTATATGTATAACGGACAAGAGTTAATTTTATTTTTAGCACTATTCAGCTTCAATGCTTACCTACCCATACCAATCTAATTAATGGCTCCTGACTTCAAATTAGTAAACCACTTCTTAAGTTTCTTGATGATCCTCACATTATGTGATTGGCGAGTCTCTCGCCGTTGGATAAAAAAATTCCACAATTAGAAAATATTTTGTTCCTGGACGGGGATTTGAATACAGGAATAATGCCTATTTTTACCATTTATCATACTTGTAATCGATTGTCTTTATAACTGTAGGTCAACCGGGCGTTCTTACTTCATACGAATGGCTAAAACAACACATGCCACAGAATTCAAAAATTGGATATGATGCAACATTACTGTCTGTCAGTAAGTTTCTTATTGCTGTGGGTAGACATAAACATGTATATTTACGTAATTTAAGAAAAGTTTTGATGGTATTATGAATAGTAGTTGGATGGTTCCTACTGAAGCTTAAAATTAAAATATGTTGTTGATCGCCCCGTTTGGAAAAATAACCACCACAATCACTAGACTTTTTAAATTCTCAGGAAATTAACCTGAGAATATCTACCTTTTAATGAAAAAACATAAAATTGTTTGAAACTGTTTACATTAGGTACTTTTGAACGTTACGAAGCTGCCATCAGTGAAGATCCCATCCGGAATCTAAAGATGATAGAGATTACCGAAAACCTGGTAGATGAGATATGGGACAGCAGACCGAACTATCCAAACGAACCGCTTATTGTACTTGATGAAGAATTTTCAGGTAAAATAATAAAAATCCCGAATAAATTGCGTAATTCGTAAGCCCGGACACTGACTGTGAATCTATGAAGAACGCCACAACGTGCGCGCAACGGATCGTTTTTAATGACGATTCGTTCAGACAAACGGCGTCACGTAGACCAGCGGTAACAGGGAGCGGAGTTAGATTCGTCGGACGACGGTCGTACGTCGACGCAGTGAGTGCCCACCTTTAGAGGGAAATAATATTATTCGTGGTTACTGATATTCCGTTTGTTTAATCTCGGATGTATTCGATAAATTGTTACAGACACACATCAGGCAAGTCAATCTAAATTGGTTGGTAATCAATGTTATGCATAGTAGTGCTTAACAAATGTGAACTTGAATTTTTAAGGAAAAAAGTGGCAGGAAAAACTTAGGGAGCTACAGACGAGACTTAAGGAAGAGAAAGACGATGGTACAACTATTGGTTCACTATTGGTGACAAAGCTTGATGAAATTGCATGTAAGAAACAATCGTTGTGTTCTTGTTACTACATAATTTATATATATATATATATATATTCACATATATAAATATATTAAAGAAGTGTCCCTGGTCGGATTATGTCTGCGATATACAGTACAGACAGGCCCATCCATGTGGCATGTAAGGAACAATCGTTGTGCTCTTGTTCCTACATTATACATGCATATATATATAT